AAAAAAAAAAAAAAAAAAATTCAGACTCCTTGGCGTTGCACACACCAAAAATACAACTGAACAGATTCCATATATTCCTGGCTACTGTACAGTGTAAAATAAAATGGTCTATATTCTCACTGTCTTTTTTAGTTTTTACACATGTAGCACCTGCTGCACAAAACTATTCTTCTCTTATTTAAATCTTCTTCTGTTAAGCAGGCTCCTTAAATGGCCAGCCAGCTGAAGCATGCTACTTTGGTTGGTGATTTGGTTCTCCATATCAGCTTCCAAGGCCAATCTTCAATGATATTGCTTCGGCTAGCCGTTTCCTCATAGCACTCTTTGACTGTGAACTTACCTTGGCCTTTAACCCCCCATATCAGTCTGTCTTTTTCTTGCTGTTGCACCTGATTGTCTCGATTTTAGCCATAACCTCCAGCATCTCTTCAATTTCCCAGTCGTGGCGCTCTCTCCTGAAACTAACATTTCAGGAATTAATCTCCCTGAGTTGCTTTACTGTGGCTTTGGGATCATTAACAAAACCAAACAGAGCCTTAAATTCTTCTTTCAAAGCCCTGTTACCGTTCCATCTGTCTAGTCAAAACAAAATATTTTCTCCATCATCTACATGTATTTTCACTTTGCCACTAAACTCATTCCCTAGCTTGCTTATATGTTTCTGAGGACCCACACCATGTGGAGCTGCTGTTATTATAGTGTGCCAATAGCCCTCTGCTCCATGATTTATCTTCACTACTCTCCTCCACAAAACATCCTCCTCATTACTATATCTCCACAGCCACTTCATCAATAAACTTTTATTGTGCAATGTTAAATCCCTGATCCCCATTCCTCCCCTTTCCTTGGGCAAAATAATCAGTTCCTTTTTCACCAAAGATAAGTACTGTGATCACCGAGTTGCCAGTTTCTTCTCAAACTTCTCAACTAATCCCTGCCACACTGATGTGTTTTTGTATCTGGTTCCCAATGGCAGTCCAAGATATGTCGTAGGAAAATTACCAATGTTGCATTCCAATATTTCTGCCAGTTTCTGCACATTTTCCACTGCATTTACTGGATAAAGACTGATTGTTGAAGATTAATATGTAATCGATATTATTTCAAATATAAAGTGGATCAGCGTCAGGTATCTTTTCTGATCTTGTTCAGCACCACAGAATATCAATGTGTCACAGGGTTGTGAAAAGCGGTCAGCTTCCTCGCTTAAAGCGAGAAGCGAAACGAGGCTACCCCATTACCACTTCTGCTATATGAAGCGACTCAAGTAGACAATAGCGTGTGCTTCCCACTAAAAAGCGAGAAGCGACGAAGCGAAGCGAGCGCTTCTCTGTTTTAAACACCTGCCAACCTATTTAATTAAAAAAGAAAGGTGTTCAGTGTTCTAACACGACCAGCAGCAACAGAGATTCTAAAGAGGCGACTAGGGTTCCCTTTTCAACTTCAACATACGACCAGCAACAACAGTTATGTGATGATTTCTTCCTTCTTTTTCTTTCACTGTTTCAGCGTCCAAATAGCAGCGAAATGCTGGCTAATTTTTTTTTCCCTTCAGTTCTTCTTTCTCAGCCTTCTCTTTGTTGAAATGCTGCCCAGGTTCTTCTTTCACTGTTTTTATGCTGGCCAGTTTTTAACAGAATGGTATACGGCCCTTCCTCTTATTTTAGTTTTTTTAAAAATTCCGCTTCACTTCAAAAAAGCGAGCGCGTTGCTTCTCGATTTAAGCGAAATGGGGATTGTCTCTTTTCCTCGCTTCACGCTCTTCACAACACTAGTGTCATCAGCAAAAAAGAGGTGTGAAACAGTGTTTGTCTCCCCTGTTCTGACCCCTACCTTAAAACCCTTAATCCAATGATTTTGGACTGCTTTCTCTATTATTTTACTGATGGGCTTGCATTATGAGGATGAAGAGAAATGGTGATATAGGATCCTTGTCTCAATCCCCTTTATGGAGGAAAAATCTCTGGTTCTTCATTAACTAGAATGGAATATCTGACTGTTGTGACATAGAATTTTATCCAGCTCAGCCAGCTTTGTCCAAACCTCATCTGCTGCAATGTGTTAATAAGAATTGTCAATTGACATGGTCGTATGCCTTCTCCACATCTAATTTACATAGGACACCTGGTTCCCCTTTCTTCATCCTCCAGTTCAGTACCTCATTAGCTACGAGTGATGCATCTATAATTTGCCTCCCTTTTAAAAATGCACTTTGCTGGCCAGAAACCAATTTCCCATCACTTTTTCAACTTTTCAGCTAGCAGTTTGGCCATAGTTTTGTACACACTTCCGCTGAGGCTTATTGATCTAAAGTCTTTTAGTTCTTCAGCACCTTTTTTTTTGGGATTAAGGCTATGAAAGAAGCATTGCAAGCTTTTGCAAACTTGTAAGATTGCTGAAAGTGGTTCATAGCTTTGATTAAATCCTCTCTGATTATGCTCCAGCCTCCAAGCTTTTTGGTAAAATGCCATAGTGAAGCCATCAGTCCTTGAGCTTTTATCTGGGGCACACACACCGGTTTATTGGACCTAATGGCTTTCAATTAGCAAATCGATGATATTGGCTAGTTTGCTAGCCTGTTGCATTACGATACTGACTTTGGCTGCTGTGCAATATATTGTCAAAGTCAAACTGGGACTTCCTCAGTATCCTGGTTTTAACTTGTACATAATTCTTTTCAGAAGGTTATGTGGGATGCAATTTAGCGGGAATTGAGCAGTTCTATTTAGCTGATTGGCATTATTCAGAGTACATATCCTTGTATGGATGGACAGCTATAAAAGAGTTAATTGTCCTAATTGTCACCTAAGTTGCTCGGACACGGGTGCGGATCTAGAGGTCCTTCGAGATGTAAATTCTAAGATTCGGGGATACGGATCCTAGTACGGATATGAGTTCGGGGATCCGGCTAAAAATAATTCAAAAATATAAAAGTATCTCTAAATTGTGAGAAATTTTGTGGAATAATTACGTATAGCTAGTAAAGTGTGGATTTCTTTTTTATTCTCATGTTGTAAATAAGCAAAGGATTGATTTCCTAGATAAGGTATGCTATTTTCTTCAAATTTACCCTAGTTTTAATTCTGATTTAGGGAATCAAATTGTATCTCGTCTTGAATTTTTTCTGTCCGTCGTGGTCAAAGTACCCAAAATTGTTTGACTGGATCCGGTACGGATCCCATACCCACACCCATACTAGTGTCGTGTCGACACGGGTGCGGCACCTAATCTTCCATGTCAGAGCAACCTAGATTGTCACACCATTGATTTCCACCAATAGAAATTAAAGCTATAAGTCTTTGAGTTGTAAATTTGACCAGTGGCATTGATTGATATGTGTTCCTTTTTTGCTTTCTTTTGAATTATTTTATAGTTTATCTTGCTTTTTAAGCTGCCTGTATAGTACCTAGGGCATTGCTCTTTTGAACCTTTATGTCTACATCAGACATGTTAACAATAATCTCTTGTAATTGTTAATGGATCCGGGCTGTTTTTTAACATCATTGTCATGGAACAACTTCTTTTACTGCAAGTCTCAAGTTCTTTTCTTAGTGATCATACTTGTCACTTGTCATTCTTTTCATGCATATGCCTCAAAATTACTGTCTTTAATTGGCTGAAGATATCACATGAGTGAGTGCATTTTTGTTGTGTTCTCCCTCTATCTTGACTGTTTGACCTACATTGCATCTCGGTCCTCAATATCTTAGTTAATTTTTAGGGTCCATAGTTTTGGCTAACAAAAATGCACTGTGGTGTTGATTTTGGAAACCACTCAATAGGATAATTTCTAGCCAAACCAATTCTTTGGAAACCCTGGCCCCCTCTTTTTGCTTTTTCCCAATTGTTAGAGGTACCCCATTGTTTGAAGGTACCCTAATGAGATAGCTTTTAGGATTGAGTTAGGTCTAGTGCCCTTTTCTCTTGGCTTGCTTTCAAGCCAGACCCACCCCTGACGCTTGATTGCTCGATATTGGTACCTATGTTATGTTATTCACGCTCCAGATATCCTACATTGGGCGTGCTGGGAGTCTTAGAGTCCTACATTGGTTTAAGGTATGCGCCGTAGGCTCTTTATATGGTCATGGTCTCGAACAAACCTCACCTATATGAGCTAGTTTTTGAGTTTGAGTTAGGTCCATTGTTTAATTTTTAGATACCAACTTAGGTCCCCAAATATCTAACTGATTTTCTTTTCTTTTTGCTTATGGACGGTTTGTGCTTTACAGTCAGACAGCCCTTCCTCCCTCCCCCTTTTTCTAACCAATTTAGATTTGTTCTATCGGACTAAAATTGGTACTTTTTTTTTCTCAGCTGTTCAGAGATAAATTTAGTAGCAGTAAAAGAATGTAGAGTCGATTTTTCTCTCAAATTTTAACAATATAAAAGCATCTAGACAGTCCTAAGGCTTTAGTGATATTTTGCGAAAGTTGGATTCTATAAACTCCGAATATAAGAACTTTTCTTTTTTTCTAAAACAGATTCTCTTAGAAAGATTAAACACAATAGTTTTCCTAAAACCAAACCTAAAACTGATTTGGCCAAGAACTTTTTAAGAAAGTAATCCGAATACTCGTACTTTGTACTGGATTCACTTTTAACAAAAGATTCATGACATATGAGAAAGTACCTATCTTTCTCAACCTTCGATACCATGTACCATAAGAATACGGTATATGATGAAAAGGGAAAAGAACTTGACAATCTTGTGAAGTCTCAAGCTATTCTTCTGCTTCTTGGAAGATAAAATCGAATTGGAAAGCGGGATTGTTAGGATGGCCTCTATATATCACCTTATGTTGATCTTTCAGTGGATGAATTGTCTCCATATATCACTTTATACTTCTTTGTGTGTGAGAACAAGTTGCTTAATAGTTGATTAGTTTCTAACTTCTCCCTTCTGCACTTGGCCCTATGAAGGAATGTGTGAGGCGAAGAGTGATGAAATCGATGGCAGGTAACCCATATTGTTCGGAGTCAGCCAGTAGGGATGCCATGGAAGCTGTCTGGGATGTTTGTTACAATGACACTAAGCCATTTGACAGAGCCCCTTGAAACACGATGATAACCGGTAGCTTCTCAGAGATAATCTAGTCGGTCTTCTGGCAACATGGATATGGTGATAACGCCATAACTGTGTTATCACCACCTGAAGAAGATCGAAGACATTTTGCCGCGTTCTTTCAATTTTGGTTGATAGTTTACCATAAACAGAAGGTGCATATTTATCAGACATCTTAGCATTTTTGGGGCTTATTGACTGCCCCGTGATGTAACAAGCATAAAAGCACATGGTATAAAGTAAATTATTCTTGTGCTGTATCAGGTTTAGTAAAATTTGTAGGGATTTTCTCCTACTCTGGGAATTTCTCATAATAAGTAGTAATTGTTTCTTCTTATTTTTTAAATATAAATTATTCTTGTGTTAAATATGTATTTTGTTGTCCAATGCTAGGGATCAGTAACCAAATTATATTGCAGAATATGTTGCTTTTCATATTATTCCAGTCCTGGCTCATGGTTCCTATTGTTATGTCTAAATCGACTTTCTTAGAAACTAATTAAGGAGAAGTATTAAGGAAAATGGAGACGTGTTATATGGAGAGTAATTAGGATTTGCAAGTCGCGTTTTCCCTGTAACCCCCTCCCCCCCCCCNCAGTAACCAAATTATATTGCAGAATATGTTGCTTTTCATATTATTCCAGTCCTGGCTCATGGTTCCTATTGTTATGTCTAAATCGACTTTCTTAGAAACTAATTAAGGAGAAGTATTAAGGAAAATGGAGACGTGTTATATGGAGAGTAATTAGGATTTGCAAGTCGCGTTTTCCCTGTAACCCCCCCCCCCCCCATAATTATGGTGTATAGGCCAGCTTATGTGTATCTAAAGACTAAACTATTCACTGGATACCTGCTACCTCCACCAGCATAAGCAAATCAAAGCGTAAAGTGCTATCATCCCATTGTTGTTATGCTGGTTAGGAAAAAGATGATATGCCAGTCTACAATTTTTTTTTCCAATCGGGAAATCACCTTGAGACAAGAGGGGTTGTTATGATGGTAAGCAACCTCCACTTCCAACTAAGAGGTTGTGAGTTTGAGTCTCCCCAAGAACAAGGTGGGAAGTTCTTGGAGGGAAGGATGCCGAGGGTCCATTTGGAAACAGCCTCTCTACCCCAGGGTAGGGATAAGATCTGCGTACATACTATACACACTACCCTTCTCAAACCCCGCTAAGTGGGATTATACTGGGTTGTTGTTGTTGAAATCACCTTGAGTTGGTGACGCATAGGTTAAAAGGTGGGAAATTATTGGAGGGAAGGATGCCGAGGGTCTATTTGGAAACAGTATCTCTACCCCAGGATAGGGGTAAAGTCTGCGTACATACTATACACACTACCCTTCTCAAACCCCGCTAAGTGGGATTATACTGGATTATTGTTGTTGTTGAAATCACCTTGAGTTGGTGGCGCATGCGTTAAAACTCTATGGATATTAGGTCCACTCCTCTACCTTCCTTCACTTAAATATCAATTTTTTTTTTTTTTTTGCAGTAAAGTTTGAACCCATAACTTACGCCTAACCCATACATCACGAGATGTGCACCATTCAATATTTTGTAAGTTTCACAATGCCAGGACATAAAAGTAACAAAAAAACTAGCCAAAAAAGCTAGATTAATTTGATACCTAAGATGTGCATCCAATATCATTTCTGAAACGTGAAAGCCACATTTGTTAATAGTAAATGATTAGTGGTTAGATTAGACAGATGATTAATCAAATTTGCGACACAGAATTCGGGATTATTTTATCATGCGTTTGTTGGAATAAACTCTAGGTATTTTTGTCTATGAACACCACATTGTTTTTTTTTTTTTTTTTTTTTTTTTTTTTTTTTTTTTTTTTTTTGGGTACGTGTAATAGCTAATTTTCATGTGTTCCAGTAGGTATATGTGCATATTTTATTTTTCGTACTGAACATATGTCGATTTTTATAAAGATTTTATTTGATCTCATGGCTCATTATATTAATATCCTGGTACAATGCTTCTTAGTTTGCTTCTGCCTTAAATAGGGGTGTACATGGATCGGGTTGGTTCGGTTTTTATAAAAATCAAACCAAACCAACTATATCGGTTTGGATTGGTTCGGTTTTGTCGGGTTTTTCGGGTCTTTTTGTTACATGAATATTATTTCAATCTTACTTTGTTAAAATTATAGATAAAGCTTTGATAAGTGAATATATATTTAGTAGATATGGAAAAAATTGACAAACATATGATCTATTAAAATATTCTAATGAGAGAATTTTTTTAGTAACACATGATAGTTGTTTTTCTAGTCGTCTAACAATAGTTTTTCGTTAATTTATGCTTTCAAGGTTAATACATGAGAGGATCCCAAATATTTCTATATTTTCTAAAGAAAATTCACTATAAAGTCTTAAAAATATAAATAAAATTTATATATTTATATATCGGTTTGGTTCGGGTTTTTTTTACTCAATACCAAACCAAGTCAAACCAAACCTAGTCTCAAGTTACGCATGTTATGACTGAAAAATAAAATATCGACTTGCATGTAGTGATGTAGATGATGATGTGCTACTAATTAAAAAATATATTCTTTTCTCTGTTTTTATTTTTTTAATTACAAAAATCACATGTTTTAGCAAGAACAAAGGAGAAAGCCAAGTTAGAACTAACTTTAGGCTTAATCAAATAATTAAAATTGAAGCCTTGCCTTTGACCTTATATACCGACCAACATTCGTACACCATATAATAATATAAAGTGCTTATTCAAATATAAATAGAGATACCAAGGTGGAGGAAAATAATCTTGGGGGACAATTGTGTTTTGATTAGTTTTGTATAGATTCTTTTGGGAAAAATGTATTTGAATTAGAAATTAAAGGTTTTCAAATGTAGAGATTATAATTGCCTTATTTTGCCTGTTGTTATTGCATGTGTTACTGTTTCCTTTTGCATCTTTCCTTACGTCGAGAGTCTATCGGAAATAGTCTCTTTACCGTCATAAATTAGGGGTAAGGTCTGCGTACACACCATAGGCGAAGCTACATGTTACCCTTCGTCGGAAAATTATACTACGTATATAGATAAAATATTAGATTTTAGAGGTATATAACATATATTGAACACTCTTTCTCGGAGAATATTTTTAACTTCTTTCAAGTTTGAACACCCTTGAATAAATTCCTGGCTTCGCCACTGGTACACACTACCCTTCCCCGTTTCCATTTATGGGTTTTTACTGGATATATTTGTTATTGTTATTTGTACAACAACATATAATAACTATATATACCTCAATCTTAATAAGTTGGGATTGTTCATATGAATCGTACGTATTCACCTCTAGTATGAAAAAACTCCTAGAAAAAATTGGACCTAAAGTAAAATATACAACAATATGTTTAAAAAACTTAATTCCAACTAGTAATTAGTATCATTTATATCAATTTTTTTTTCTTATATTGTACTACATCGGTTGTTAGGTCTGCTTGAATTCAAAGAGATTGTAGGTTTTCTGAAACAACTTCCGTCTATATGATTTACTAAATTTTCTTTCAAACTGTTAAATATGTAATACATATAGCTACGGTATTATGTAATAATGAGAATTAATGCATGATTCCCAAGAAAGGAGGGAAACAAAAATAGCCAGTTTCATAAGTGGTCATTCAAAAATAGATACAGTTTCAAAAGTAATTGAAATTTAGCCACTTTTCATGTAAAGATAAATTTGAATGAAAATACTATTCAAAATCCGGAAAATACTCTAGTATAATATACTGAAACTCCAGTATAATATACTGGACTTCCAGCATAAGTATACTGGAACTCCAGTATATTACTGGAATTTCAGTATAATATACTGGACTTCCAGCATAATATACTGGAGTTCCAGCATAATATACTGATCCAACATAATATGCTGGAAGTTCATATACATGTGCTCCAATCTCCAGTATATTATAGTGGAACTTTCCGCGTGTTGGAGTTCCAGCATATTATATATGCTAGAAGTTCATACACAGGTGCACCGATCTCCAGTATATTATGCTGGAACTTTCTATGTTGCAGCAAAATAATAGCTACTTTTCAATAACTTTGCAAATGCTGGCTATTTTTGAATGACCTATTAGAAAACTGACTAGCCTGTGCTATTTTTACAAAAAACGAAGAAGGTGGAAACCAACTGCGTGAACCTATTAGAAAACTGACTAGCCTGTGCTATTTTTACAAAAAAAGAAGAAGGTGGAAACCAACCGCTAGCACGCAGAAAAAGGCAACTCCGCGTGCTACCCGTTGGTTTCCATCTTTTTGGACGCCAAGGTTTGGCATGGACTCCTACTTTGTCTATTAAACATGAAAATTTAGTACAACGAGGAGGAGACATAAAATCAAGACCTTCAGATTTGAAAAAAAATCAAAGAAGAAAAATAATTTATACCACAAATGGGGTTTTATTAATGCACAATTTTGGGCATGATCCTTCTATATATGTCTCCTAGAGCCCTATGGTATGATATATCTAAGTCAACCTTAGCTTCCTCCAAAACACTACATATGAAGAAATGCAAGAAAAACTAAATATCCTTTTAGTATTAAGTAAGTTTTACATTACTGCAGATATATGTTAACTTCTTTCAAAATTTGAAGTCCTAAATTAAATACAAATATCCAAGTTGTTGATACATTTGCAATTTTATCAAATTATATCTGTTGAAGTGCGTGACCTTCTCATCTAAAAGCTTAAGCAGATAGAGAGAGTACATTTTAATTATTCGTCCGGTGAATCAATCTTTCCATAAAGTGAACTCGACGTTTTCCTCAACATCACCCCAATTAAAACCTCTTTTCATAGCTGGTGGAGTCATAAGCATTCCTTCTGCCATACTATCAATCAATATTGGCATGTTAAACATAGCCTCCTCATCCACAAACTCCATTAATTCACAAGAATCATTATAACCCTTTAAAGAATTCTCTTGATCATTGTTTGTGCTTTGAAAACAAGAAGATTCTTCTAACTCCAAATATGATGTAGTGTGTTTCAAGGGAGAGGACACAACTTCTTTATTTGAAACTTGAAGAGCCGCGATTTGAATGTCGCGAGGGGAGGAAGATTGGGCTTTAGGGAGAGACCAAGACGATTCGGGGAAGTTAAGGGAAGCTTTTGTCCCCCGGAGAGCTAGGGCAGCAACATCGTGCGCCCTAGCTGCTATTTCAGGAGTGGAGAAGGTACCTAGCCAGATTCTTGACTTTTTATTCGGCTCACGTATTTCACACACCCATTTGTCCCCGTTCCTTCTCCTTACTCCTCTATAAAAGGGATGTCGCGTTTCCTTGAATTTCTTCCTTCCCGTCCTC